TTATACTCCCCCCTCTCTCTCTTTCTCTCTCTCACTCTCCCTCTTCTCTCTCTCTCTATCTCACTCTTTCTCTCTCTCCCTCTTTTTTATTCTTTCTCCCTCACCCTCTCTCTTCTCTCTCTTATTCTTTCCCATCTCTCCCTTTCTCTCTCTCTCTCTCTCTCTCTCTCTCTCTCTCTCTCTCTCTCTCTCTCTCTCTCAAAGAGTAACAGACGAGTGTTACAACGCTCAAGCATGACATTTGCACGTATTTTCTAACTCTTAGGGGTTTATTTTATTTTCATTACCTGGCTTTATTATTGAATTTTAGAGGATACAGGAGTAAAAATGTAAATGGGAGGGTTGCAGGATGGACAAAGGGATTATTACTGACGTAGCATGACGATGCTGATTTTACGCCGGTCGCATCTGCATAAGGTCGGTCATATGAGCGACAAGGGGTTGGTGTCGACAGCGAAGGAATCATGCTTACTCTGCCAACCTCGATAGCATTATTATCAGTGCTGAAAGATCATCAACAGATACTCTGACCTTACGATAAAGACAAACTGTAGGCCTTTCCCAAAGGGGGGACATTTCTCGTTCAAGCACAGTAGAATTGTAAATGGGCTGATTCATCATGTCACGCTCATAACTGTGCCTCATCTACAACAGGGAACTGCTGCTTTTTTCTTTCCTTATCCTTACTATTGTCATTTTCCTCTACTTCTTTTTTATGTTTGTCACAATCTTGTGACATGTTATTTCTGGGGTGCCTTGATAGTCGAAGCAGACCTTGTGCTGTTGAAGCTAGAGAGGTGAGCAGAGTAAGCCTGATTCCCTGTAAGGACTTCTCTTTTGACACCCACCCCTTGGCGCTCATATGACCTTATACAGTTGCGAGCGCCGTAAAACCCTCTACTATAAAAAAACATATTGGGTTTCATTTCAGCACGTCCATTGGTCAGAGCGGACCGACAACAACACTGTATATGTCACGACGCGGTGGAACCAGGCGCTCGCCAATTTTTGGGTATGTGCAGTTATTGGTATTATCTCAAAGATGATTTATTTGCCTTGATTTCAAAGAAAATAAAGATTCAATTTATCTTGAATAGAATTAAAGATATTTGCAATTGAAGGAAGTGAGATTGCTGGTTTCAGGGTTAAAATTAGCGAGAAAATAGCCGCCAAAATTTGGTAACTTCAATAGCTTAAGAGTCTTTGAAAACTAAAAAAAAAAATGACTAAACATTATGTTGTGCCATTAATCAATGTTTTTGAGTAAAATTCACCTGGAAATGTGTTTTTATATGGACCTAAAAGAGATTAAGCCGAAAAGAAAAAATTCGATAAAAATTTCCAGACAGGTGAAGAAATGCCTGTTTCTCCGACTTTGTTATCTGGTTTATCTAGCGCCTGATTTTACCACGATGACTCTCATATACAGACCTTCGGAGCAAAATCAATTTGACAAAATAAATATTCTACAGTTTTGTTGGTATCCAACCTTGAGTAAGTAAGCTAAATTTTCCTCCCACGACATTTGTCTCAATTTTTAAAGAAAAAGAAATCGTTACAGTAGTTGTAATGCCCATATCAACCCAATTTAGATCATTCTGGATATAAACTGCTTCGACTTTTCTGTCAGGGCCACACGTTTACTTAATTTTTTAAAAAATTTAAAAAGTAAAACAGCAAACAAAAATGAATTCGAAAAAAAAGTAACCCGAGATTGAACTCAGGTGTTGCGCATGCGTCGGTCAAACACATAACAGCTACACCACAGACGCCAGTATTCCTACTTTACAATATACAAACGAACATATTGAGTTTCGTTTCAGCACGTCAGTTGACCAGAAAGGCGATCTCACCAGCTGTACTGCAGACTGACAATGACACTGTAAGTTGATACAGCTGATATAAAAAGGACTACAGCGAGTGAGTTTTACCCTTTGGGATCCCTGTTTTTATGCTGGCGAGAAACACAAATTTGACCAAACATATTAAAGTTTTGTCGACATCAAAACTAAGGTAAAAAAAATCAACAACAACAAACAAACTGACTGTATTTGCTGCTTGTGACACGAATCTGAACAAAGAAAGCGTAATTGTAGATGTTTTATATCCCCACCGACACTATTTGTGAGGCATTGTGGTGCAAATAGGCGCTCGTCAAAATAACGAAATCAGAGAAACAGACATTTTTCCGACAGATTGGCAATTTTTATAGATTTTTGGGGGGGGTCAACGCCTTTTATGTCCTCATAAAAACACATTTCAGTGTGAATTTGACAGAAAAACATTGATTAAAAGCACAAAATGTCATTTTTCAGTTTTCAAAGACTCTTTAGCTATTGGAGTTACCGAACTTTGGCGGCCATTTTAATAGATAGCTTTAATTGCATTGGTATAGCGCAAATCCCGCTCAACAGAACGCTCTGTGCGCTTCACAATCTATACTATTACCCCAGCAGACCTGATAGCATTCTTAAGCAATCTTAACTTTCTGGGAAGCATTCAGTGCAAGCAGCAATCTATCGGTACTAAAACATTAACAGACTGACAAGACCTTTCGCTGTCTATTGCCGGGTACCGATTACCACCTGGGTGAAGTGAGGAAAGTTCATGTAAAATGCCTTTCCCCAGGACACTACGTCGAGCCGCGGCTCGAACCCCCCCAACCGGCTACATCACGATTATGAGTCCGGTAGCCTAACCACTAAGCCAGCTTCGCCATTTCCTCGCTAACTTCACCATTGAAGCCAGATGACTTCACCCCCTTCAATTGAAAATAGCTTGATTTCTATTCAAGACAGATGGGTATTTTTTTCAATTGAATGCAAGGCAAATAAATAAACTTTCAGATGATACCTTTGACTCTTCATGATTAAAACTTGATTCCATCGCGTCGTGACTCATTTAGAATATTAAGGAGGCAGGCTGCTTCCACTCTGCCTTTCAGTACCAACCCAAGCTGAAAGGGGTAGGGAGGGCGGGGGGAGGGGGGGTTGAGGAGGTAGAAGAAGACAAAAACGTCCCAGTAGGTAAACGGTGTTACTCGATTGCGATTAAAAAAAACAAAACTCCCCGCATGAGAAACGATCGAACATCTTCTCCGCTCGACGTCAAAACGTCTTACCGCTACACCACAAACGTCAGTCATCCGTCCAGGTCTACTTGTCTTTCTAGAGGGCATACCTTTTGAAAATGCCTTGCCCATTTATATGAGATTGGCGCCATCTGCTTAGTAGAAAAAGTGCACATGATAGTGTCCAATAGCGTATTACGTGCATACTTAGTATGACAAGTAACTATTACAGATACAAATTCAAGGATTATAGATGTAAGTCTTTGGTCTGAGAGCAATGAGGATTTTAGAAGTAAGGGTGGTGATGAAAGATGATATGGGATTGCGTTTAAGTAATTTTAGCGTTAGTCCTATCTTCCTCTTCTTCAATGAG